AAGACCATGATACTGTTCCTTAATCCACAGGTACAGTCGAGTAGATTTAGCGGTAAATATAGTGTGCTTGCACAAAAGGTGAAATGCGGTGAAATCGGCGCGTGAAGAAATAGTTTCGACTGTGACGTCGGCCAATTGCGCGCGCAAGATACCGCGGTACTGACGTGGCTACTTGTTCACGCGCAAATTTCACCGCATTTCACCTTCTGTGCAAGCACACTATATTTACCGCTAAATCTACTCGACTGTACTTTACGGCCATCGCTCGTTATTGTTCTCACCAGTGCGCCACCTCTGCTTCGCAGAGGCTCGCACTGGCCCTACTTTCCGTATGCCTTACTCATTCCCGCATAATAGTGACATTGAAACTCACCGCGTTATGCAGGCTATCACGAATAAGTTGTAAACAGCTACTCATTCCTAAAGCTTTCTTGTGTGAGACCGGTATTCTCAAGGGGATGAAACTTTTCTCAAAAGAGTAAATGCAAATTTGAATAGGTTTGTGGACTATTTGTGGCTTGGTAGTCGCTATAATGGCAATAATCATCGTGGGCTACATCTCTGTGCAAAAACCTTCTCAAGTGATCACGTAAAATCTTGGGAAGTTGAACATTTACGCAACTGATTCTTTTTGGCGCCATCTTCGTAAAGTATTTAACTTCAGTTGAATTTTCTGGGCTAAAGTCCATGGCTTGTACATTAGCTTGTCAAATATATGCACGACTTTGCAAAAAAATTATATACGGACCCAATTTTGCTGGTCAGAAGTTAAGTGGACCCGTTTCACGCGCAATTTCTAGGGGATCCACTTATCGGATCCGCTTGTGCTTTTGCAAAATAGACTTTCCTGCTGCTAGGATGTACTATGCAAAATTTGGGCTCAAGAGGTTGGCTGGAACTCTCCCTACGAATTTCGTAACGGACAGACAGACAGACACACACACACACAAAAAAACGTAAACAGCCCTTAGCCCGTTATTATAAGTTATGATAGACTGTGATTCTATTGCGGATTGTGCGAGTTTTGTGTACTTCAGGTATTTAATTTTCTATACTCTTTACCACAACTCTTCAAGCTTGTGCCATGTCCCCGACATCGCTTACCGAAGTTTAATCCGGAAATGAATAAGGCATGTTTAATCTCCACACTCTGTCCTTGTATCCATTTGTTGGTGTTTAGGTTGGCATGAGTATGGCTGAGTTCAAAGAATCGGATCTCAGATTTCTCGGAAATTCTACTCTTAAACTGTTCTCCGCGTTTGGTCTACTTCACAGCAGAAGTTTTGATAGAGATGGGACGAGACAAGTAATCGTTATTTTTCTTCGAAAGATGTTCGACTTTCTCTCTAAATAGAGTTGTTTTCAAATATACTCACACGTGTGGGATCTAATGCTAAATCATGCAAAAAGTTTGTGTTCCATCTTTTTCGCAAAAAAACTACTCTAAGTTTGCATTTGAAATGATGGCAAACCCGCAATCAAAATTGTCGATATGTGCTTTTGCTATCTCGTGTTCACCGGTTTGGGTCTTCTTTTCTGCATAAAGTTCTTCTTATTAGCAATACTACTACTAAGTCTTATGTTATGTCTTGTGTCTGTTGTTACGGCCATAGATTGCCGGCAACTGTTGTCGGTGTTGTCCGTTTTGTAGCCGCTAAGTTTTTTTTGCAATTTGCAGGAGATTGTTTGTAGTTAATTTGAAATAAATGTCTTGTTTCTTCATTCTTCTATCTTCTATCCATAAACGCTAGGGGTGAGAGGGAGGGGGTAAAGAACGGGGTTGAGGGTCGCGCTGAACTCTTACCCGGGGGGGGGGGGGGGTCGTATTCGGCTAATTTGGGTGGGGTTTAGAGACAAAATTGGGGTTTGGAGCTTAATTAGGGCTAATTACAGTATGCCGCGGCAGACTTGCGGAGCAGAAAATGGCAGGGCTCCGGAGCAGAAAATGGGAGGTCTCCGGAGCAGAAAATGGGAGGTATCCGGAGCAGAAAATGGGAGGTCTCCGTAGCAGAAATGGGAGATCTCCGGAGCAGAAATGGGAGGGCTCCGGCGGACGAGTGGCAGACCCACCGCTGGGGAAACCCCGCGGCCCTGCCATTTCTCCGGCGGAGGGGTCCTATCCGCTGTCTGAGGAACTGTGCTACATGCGCTCCAACCGCCCCACACGCGTTTTGAACGGCGGGAGTTGGAGAATTTTGACCGTTTCCAAAGGTTTTTCTTCCGGATTCCCCTCATTTTAACCTTCGTCTACCCCGCTTCTCCTTATGATGATGAAAGCTGTGAACTTGAAGCGGGTTCATGTTTTGTTTAAGCGGACATTGTTCTTCTCTACTTATCCGGAACATGCACATGAAAGACAACAGCGCTCTTTCTTTAACCCTCTTCAAGTTCGCAGCTTTTCTCATCACTACGAGAAGCAGGTAGAAGAGAGAACGGAGAAGCAACGATATGGAAAAAGGAAAAGGGCTGAGAATGCCCAAAAACGAAATACCTCTGAAAACAAGAGCAAAGTTCCCATTTTTGCAATTTCAGAATGTTCGCATGTTTTACCAAGACAATGCCTGCGGAAACTACGCAACGGCTTCCTGAAATAAATGGAATAGATCTGAGCAAGAAGAAAACGAAGCGAGAACGGACAAGCGCAAGATGTCGGATACGCAGAGCAGCAAAGCGCTCATTCTTCCCAGGCTCCGACTTCGAAGTCTTTTGATCAAAAGGGAAAGCGGGGTAGAGGAATATAGCCAAATAAGAGCAGTCTGGAAAAAACCGTTGGAAACGGTCAAAATTCTCCAGCTTCCGCCGTTCAAAACGCGTGCGGGGCGGCTGCAGCTCATACAGCACGGTTCCGGAACAATTCCAGCAAAACTGTGCGGGAACAGTCCCGGAACATGGGAATCAGTATGAATCCAGGCCTCAAATTGAAAGGTGGGACTGGGGCTTCAGTGTATTTGGGGGGTCTACTACCTAACAGTATCAAAATCTGATTAGATTATATTTTGTCGATCCACTGCTTTCAAGAATTTCAGACACAAGGCCAAGGCTAAAAAATCTCAGGCAGCCTGGTCTTTTGAAAGGTTGTGCCTCATCACACTAACTTAACCTTCGAAGAAGCTTCTTCATCCATGTTTCATGTAATTCGCGGTAGCAAGCCTTTAATATTCTATAAAAGATGTTTGAGCTCACCTCGACTTGTTTTGGCTTTGTGGCAATCCTTGGATAAAGCACTCAAGGTGGAAAACACGGTTGTTAAAATTTTGGCAGCACTTCTTTATCCGTTATCTGAGAGCGATATGAAGTCTAATTGTTTTTGAAGTAAAAACGTTTCTATGAATGTGTTAAATCCTTCGATAGCCTTAGTCTCGTAGTTTTTACAAGTAGTTTTTACAAGAGCGATTTGAGCCTGATTCGTCTTCTTCACTCTGAGTAATACTTGCTGAATGCAGAACCGCTGAAAGGGAAAAATGAGCTAAGCAAGATTTTGGCTGACTTCTAATTTTATTTGAAGGTTATTTGAATGGTAAATTCTACTGTTTACCGGTAAGGAGTAGTGCTTTATATACTAAGTGCAGAAAGGGTTAGCAAGCTCATCTATAAAACTAATTAGTCATGTTTGAAGGTAGGGATTATTCAATAGTTAGCGCAATTCTCAAAAATTTCGATATTCACTGAAGCTTGGTCCGCAGGCATTTAAAATGCAGATGACGAAAATAATATTATGCTCGACACGGCCTCTATTTCATGCTTACGGTAGATCAGCGGTATTTTAGAGGGGTCTTACTGAGATGAAAAAAGGGAGATCATGTCCGCTGATCGTGTGCCACTCAGCTCACTAGGACTGAAGGAGTGACTGTCGTACACAGCATGCTGATTAACCACTATCGAAGTCTCAGCAAAATTTCAGTGCCCTCTTCTACTTACACAAACCGTAAGGTCAACCCAAGAAGCTTGCTATATGAAATGCTATATTTTTCGTAATCAGCAACTTCGTTTCAAAAGTAAAAGAGGTTAGCGTTTATACTGACAACAAAGTAATTCTCTCTATCAATCCATGCTAGGTATTAGACTTCACATCGCTTTCAGATAATGGATAAGAAGCGTTACCAAAATTTCAACAGCCGCGTTTTACATCTTGAGTGCCTTATCCAAGAGCCACAAAGCCGAAACAAACCAAATTAAAGGTTGCGTCCAGGCAAATCTGGAGCTATGGGGATTTTACGGAGAAAGTAATTTTGGGCCCTAGCTAAGGCACTGCGGCAGCGCAGGTGACTCACTAACGGCTGAGATATACGCCTCCAAAGTGGACCCCAGGATCGTGTTCGCGTGGATTCATGGCAGTTTCGCGCGAGGACCCTATCTTTGCGCCATGAATCCATGCGAATTATGATCGCGAGGTCCAGCTTCGAGGCGAATATCTCAGCCATTAGAGCACTACCTGAGCTGCCGCAGGGCAGCGGTTTAGTTAGGGCCTCAAAATCGCCATCCACGTGAGACCCCCATATGCCCAGATTTACCTGGACGCTGGCTTTAAGCTCGAACATCTTTTGTAGAATATTCAAGATTTGCTACAGCAAAGTAGGTATGCAAATCCCAAGGCTATATTCTAGTAACAAAGTTGCTGCAATTCTTTCCCGCTTTTGTCCAGTTCTTGGATTTTTGAATGATGGTTTAGTCCTACTCCGATCACACAGATGCTCGCATCAAAGGGAAGGTGTACTTGTGTATATGAATGAGAATAAGATACCGTTCAAAAGTTCCAGTCTGACTTTTATCATCCTCGTTTCGCTCCCTGTAGGAGGCATTGCTTAAGTAACATTTTTGGGATCACAAATTTTTTAAAACTTGCGATGTATTTGTTCTTCATCAAGAAAATATTATCTAAAAGGATTTCTGAAGAATTTCTTTCGTTTTCTTTTCGAACGCAGGGGCAAACTATGCGAATGCCGATATAAAGAGCAATATTTTATTTACAACATCTTGACAAAGAAAAAGTCTGATGCATGGCAGCAAATGACTCACTAAGCTTACAAAGTCAAATCGTGAACATGAGGTAAAACATCCCTTCACAGACACAGAAAACAAGCAACTGTAACAAGAAAACGACTAATTCAAAAGGAAATGGCAAATTGCAATACAATATTTTATGTACACATGACTAGATTAACTCAGCATTGAGAGGATGCATGAAAGATATGAGCGAAAATGCGAACTGGTTGGGAAAACTGAGATACTTCATGTAAATGGCACAAGTATCTGCTGATATTTGGATTGCACAGGCTTAGTTTGGAAAAGCTTTCAAATTTAGATATTTGGTGCGGTAAAAATGCGACATAGGCCTACATTTTTGCGAAGCAATGCTACGAATAGTAATACTCATTTTTGGTTAAGCAAACAATAACATGACGACTAGCGCGTACCAGTATATTGACCTTAGGCTTTATACTGTTGCTGTCATCGGGATGGTGATAGAAATTAATATCACTGTTCTCTTTCGTTTTTAGGCACATTGAGAATACTGGGATGGCTGCAGATTATCTAAAGAGCTATAAAAATGCCCTCTAATTATGTCCATAGGAATATCGTCAAGACTAGAGCTGTGACTGCGACGTTGGTATACGGTCGGTGCTGCCAGCGATTGAACTGTACGATGGTGGCGGTGATGGTGGGCGATAGCTTGGATTCTGGAAATGGAGGCATTAATGAAGGTTATGTTAATTGCACAACTCAATGACTATTTGAGGTTTTTGTTATTTCGTCTATCTCACCTTTCCCAAAAAAGTATTTTTTTTCTACATGGGAGAAAAAACCCAAAAAGGTTGATCAGGGAAGACAAGAGTTTTTGTTCTTTTCATTAAAACAGCGGTTTGCGAACCTATTACTTGCAACGCTAGCTGTAACAGAGTATGTACATGAAGATTTTAGTTTACGAATCGAATGGCTCATACAACACCTTTTATGGGGAAGAACGGACAATTGATTCAAATTCAAGTGGTAAATCAACAAAAGTGACCAAAAACAGAAACTTTTGATTTTTCGAAAGCACAAAGCCGAAACAAAAAACGGCCAACAACATGGACTACTACGAGAAGTACCAATCCATAAAACATTCTAGAAATGCTAATGCACACTTTCTGATGCACATTGTGAAAGTGAGTCTTTCCATACAAAAATACAGCAGGATCCAAGTTTACTGAAATGTCAAGTATAGCTTCTTCTCAAAAATCATAAGCAGCAAAAAGCGACAATCTCAAAAATTTTTTGGCTACATTTAAACTCTTATAATTTAACGATTACTAGCTTTTAGAAAATATTGCCAATTGAAAAGTTGCTAAAGATCAAAATGATTCTGCTGCGATACATAGATCTGTAGCTTATGATAAGTATACCGAGTACGGTCAACTTACCGGGATTGGAGGTGCCGACGGTAACACCGTTGTATTGTACGGGGCTGGACATGAGTCACTGATAGTGGCAATCAGAGGACGTTGTTGTTCATGTGCCTGCAAATGCAAGTGACAAAAATGTGGAAATTTCTTATATGTCAACTTTGCTTACGTGAGTTCAGCGACAAATAAATTATTGATCATGACTTGAGAAGAAAACAAATTTTTTGAAACTTTGTGGGTTCCATGAAAGGTTTAGCAGTTTTCATAGTTTTCGAATATTACAGAAAATCTCACCCTCATTTCTTGCTGTGCTTCGTAAGCCCGATATCTTTGTAAACACTTGTTTACGTCTTCAGGATCCAGCGGCTTATCGTTCACGCTTGATGATCTCGTTCGACCAAGAGGTCCAAAACAATCACAGAAACAACCACGGACCATCTGAAAACACAAATCATAACGATAAGGACTAAACTCAAACATGTAACTGGAACACGAAACTTTATTTAAATTCATAAGCAGCACTTTTTCTCAAGGCAAAAGCCAAGCAGCTTTCGAAATGAGTCTGATTATGAATTCATGAGCAAGCACATGCAACCTTGCACGTGCTTGCTCATAGCGTTCAATTTGAATAGTTCTAGAAGGTTCGCTGGCTGAAGTATCTCTTTAGTTACAAATTGCATCTATAACAGACGCAACAACTTTTCTTCCATCTTAGACATATTTTCTCTTTTCAAAAGTGTTAGAATTTGCTTGGAGCACAAAATTCGTAAAAAAAGGTAACCTCATCAAAATTCTGTGGAGCCTTGCACAATACATTTACAACACCAAGACAAAATCTGACACAGAAATATGAAATTATCGAAGAAAACTAAGTAAAAGCAACCATGGAATACTGCAGATGCATTTTCATGCTTCACGCGATCTATGCAATGAAAGTCACCCTTATTAAAAAACTCAAAATGTGACATAAGAGACCTACATGAAAATTTTTCGAGTGAAGTAGAAAATCTTTGCAACCTTGCCGTTCTTTGAAATAAAATCAACCCGAGAAGGTTCGTTAGGGCTCGTGAACTGAGCATGTGCAAACACTGAGGTAGCAAAATTCGGAATGGGGACAAAATGAGCGGTTGTGAATAACTGAAGCTGCTATTACGAAATACTCGTAAGAAAAAGTTTGTTTCTTTGACGTGATTTGTGTGCTTGCTGCTGAGTAAATAGTGCTTCAAGTAACATACATCCTATACAGATGTAGCATGAAAATTCTACAATCACCAGACCATTATGAAGGAGATATGCGTCAATGTGATAGAATGCGCAAAATTGCGAACGTATCGCTGCAAATCACCAGCTCTTACATTTGCGCAATGAAACGCTAAAATAAAAACTGCACATCGCTAGCGATTTTTCAAGCGAATAAACCGTAAAGTAAATTGAATTTGGCGTTATTTAGACCTATGAAAACAACGCTAATTTAGTCGAAAGCTACGGCATATGGCCGATAGCGGCAGAACACTTTGCATATTACAGGGCATTTTGCATGCACCTAATTCTACTTTGCTTGGTCTTCCTCGCTAAACCTCTTACTTCCGCTCATCTTTCGAGTAGTAAAGTCAAGATAAGTCACGCGATTAGTGATCAGTGCATGTCAGCGATGCTCATATTATAATACGTTGAGACTCAGGTTAGCGTTAATTACTAGTAACGTCAGGTGATGCAGAGCGAAATTCAGAAAGAGTAGGCTTTGCGGTGCTGCAAGAGGAAAACCGAAAAGTTTTATGAGAACAACTGTATCAACAAAAAGATTCAATAACATGCTGAATAAAAGGTTTCCGAAATTCATTCCGACTTTTTTCTTTTTCAAAGTGTCAAAATGCCGATCCATTTCAAGGAATCATTTTTTCCCCAGCTCTTGGATTGGAGAAATTTTTATAAAAGCTGGTACTAATTCAATCATATCTCTTACTCTTTTGGATATGCGGTGTGGTGAGTCTTTTTTTTTCGAAAAATTCGAAATAATCAAGTGTACTAAAATTATTATAATTTTTTCAAAAAAAAAACTCAAAAGAATTTTCGCACTTTACTCAGCTTTTGGTTGATCTCTTTTGAGTAAAATTTTTGAAACTGATATTGAGAAATTGCAAGAACGCTGTTTTGTAGATGCACTAACCAGCAGATGTCAGTGCAAGAAAAAGCAAAGCAATTAATTCGAGTGCACTGACAGTGAAAAGCTCGGAGAGAAGCGATGAGTGCGAGAGGAGGTAGTAGTGTCAACAAATAATCCCATGTAAACATAGCCGGAAAACGGCTGTAAGCCGATGGTCTGCGCAAAGCATTACGGTAGCTTAGAGAATCTGTACAAACATTACTGTGAACTGATCGCGAGCGTGGGATGCGAGCAAAGAAAAGAAGTGGGAGGCACTGGAGAACATAGTTCACAAATTTTGAATTTTTCTAGAGTTTTCGGATTCTTCCGTATATAAAAGGTAAAGTGAGGCTGAAGTGCCAAAGCACTAGTACGGCACTACAAAGCGCCCGATAAAATGAGCGAGACCGCGCGCCTGAGGCAAAAATGAGGAAAAATCAATGAGAAACAAGCTGTGGAATGATGCCCGCGCTCAAATGAGAAGCGCACTAGAGCTATACTAGTACTTTTACTGAAGAAACACAATCCATTGGCACGATTTGTGAAGACGACATCACGTCATCTCATTCCACAATTTCGATCCTAGCAGGGGTTATCAGCACAGCACGTTATCGCCCGTCATTCCATAAACAAACAATGAGCCGCTTGATTCATAATTATAGCCTCGTAACGGCGCTAGTTCCTTTTTTGGACTGCCAAGGTCTATTTATAGCTCAAAGCAGTTTTCAGTCTTCGGCGTAGACCTTTACAAAGATAAGGTCTTGCTTGCCAAAACGAAAACCACATACTGATAACCTTAGCCACAAAGACCGATTACAATACTTTCTGAGTAATTTTTTTGAAAGCCAAATTTTATAAATACAGATTCTCAAGTCTGCTTTCTCACATTCAAAGACTTTTTTCCACCTTTCATTCACGAAAACTAACTTGTGTTAAGAGATGTAGTATCAGTTATATTCTAATTTCCTGAGAATTCCATAGATGACTGGTATTATGTAGTCTTCAACAACTCACAGCTTTAGATATTAACTTAATTCCTTCTAGAATTGAGAGCGAAAAATTGAGGTGGCAGATGTACAGTAGGCGCTCATTCACTAACTTTAGTTTCTTCAAGAAAATATCCCAGTTCTAATTTTTGCTAAAAAATCGATTTTCCGAAATGAAAGCAGGGCATTACCTAGCTTCTAAGAGAGGGCAAACCATGCGTAAAATTCCCTTTAAGTTCATGAATTGCTTCAGAAAAGCTTCAACTTATCTTCTAAGAGATGGATTGCCCTTTTTTGACTTAATGTATCATTTCTCAACTGCTAAACACAGAATTTTCCGAAAATCTACGCCAAAATCTTTCCACTCATTTTATTATTCTAGATGATTATACATCCTAGGACTCGAACCTTTTTGGAATGCGTAAATAAATTCGACAGAATTTCTGGTATTAAAAGAATTTCCAACCGCTAAGGTTTACTCTACAAATGTCGCTTTTGTTTATATACTGCCCTTTATAAAATACGAGAAAAGCGTTGAGCACTTACCATAAACACAAGAATGAAGAGAGCCAATAGAACTGCAGCAAATATGATCACCATTTGAGATTCTTGTTCTTGAGGCCGGCTTAACGACAGAGGTAGTGGAGAGGGAAGTTCACAAGATTCACCACTGAATCCCAAAGGACATCTGAAACACGACATTTTTATTGGGCAAAAGTGTAATTGTTCTGGACAGTTGTTCGTGTAGAAAAAATTACGAAAATGATCAGGTGCTTTATAGCACAGAATGAAGGAGGGAGAGGAGGTTGGCAGCGAAAAAGGATATACTTTTGGCCATCAAAGTACATTTTTCTAGCACGGGTGAGGTATTGATCTGCCTTTGCCGCAGGGCACTTCGTCGGCAATATATGCTTGTCCAAACTCAATGGGTCAAAAGGGAAGAAAATGGTGATAGATGGCGCATCCAAAATGAAAAACATCTAGTTGTAAGAGTGTGGTTTTCATATAGGCCAAACTCTAGAAATTAAGTCCTATCTGCCCTACCTTTCCTAGCTTGTTAAATATCATTCAAGCAATAATTGTTGGTATTTATTCTAGCAATTTCTTGTCATAAATGGTCGTGTCAAAAATTCGAAATTGAAATCGTTCCGACTAATAAATGACCACTCGACTAAAGCTTAAGTCATTCCCTAGAAAAAGGAGAAGTTAATTAGATAATAACAATGGAGTTTTGCAAAATTTTAACATGTTTCGAATTAACCTCTCAAAATTTGATAGCCTCTTTCGGGGATTCAAGTTTTATCAAAAGAAGTTTGTGTGCTTCACTTAGATGGACAATCACTCAACCTAAGAAATGCAAGTCATTTCTTATTGTTAGAGAAAGAAGCAAAGTTCTGCACGCAAAAGAGAAGGTTCACTATTATTTTTTTTATACTTCGAAGTTTCTAATTGAGAGATTATACTAGTAAAATTCTTTTTTCTCTAAGTCAAAATGCTACTTTTACCAACATAAAAACTTTCACAAATCTTTCACGTGCCAAATTTTCGAAAAGCAGTATCATGCAGATCATTATGATTTCTTTGCAGCTCAAAGTATTCTTCTGCTTACATGAATGGGAGGTTCCAGTCAGACTTTGTTCTGAGGAAAAGTAATAACATGACTATATGTAAATATCCAAACTTATCAAAATAACGACTAGAGACCACATTAGGTTTTCCCCGCAGAAACTTTTCCAAGGCAAATTCTGCGGTTGGCTGCTGGAAGTACTAATCGAGAAGAACTGAGGAGGTGTTGGACTACGGCGTTCATCCGTTCGGCAGCCGAACAGGTGAGCTGTCAGCTGGCCGTTATCTAATGTTGCACTAATCCCCGCCTCGAACAACTTGCTTCTCGATAGTGTGAAGAGCTGTGTAACGTAAAGCGTACAGCCACCACCGCACTTCTACGGGAATGGCATTGCGAAAACGCAAAAACACTCCAGATTCTGACGGAGAATCAGCATTTACTGGCTAGAAAACGCGTAATACGACACCGTCGTAGTCAGTCCCGGGCCGATGTCGCCTAATGTCAACATTGATGGGAAAAGCGAATGAATTAGTGGTAACGGCGGTCGGAGTTGAAGTGAGGATCGAGAAGATTTTCGGCTTCACACACACATGCACACACAAACATCTGCTGGTGCCAATGGAGCTCAAGCGACACGCTGTCGGGATTCCAGCAGCTTATACGCCGCAAATCGATGTGGCAGCTCGAAAAACCACGAGGCAGCTATTGTTAACACGAAGTCTCTATTATTTGACCAGCAATATGAGCTTTTTGCTGCGATCCACGCATGACATCGCTTTTTTCGAAGTCTTCATCGAAATATTTTGTGAATTAATTGAGAGGAAAGTTGTACGGTTGCAGTTTTTTTTCAAATTTTGCTATTTTCAAGCGCTCTGAAGATTTCACTTCTAGTTAATAGCTCAGCTTTGTAGGGGAATTGATAATCTCAAACTCTAGTTTGTGTATCAGTAATCAGCTTTCTTCCAAGTATCCCGAAAGGCCATTAATTCGTAAGACTATTGAATCCACTCTTAAAACACGAAAAGGTAATTCATAAGTAATTTTTCTATATCAACCCATAGAACTGAATATATGTACGTTATCTGACTCTGGTTCGATTTGTGCCATTGAAATGCCTCCTATTAGCTTAAAGCAATGCTTTCGTAAAAAGGCGTTAAGATTCTAGAAAATGGTGTTTTTATGATCGCGCACGCTAGCTCTACTAACAATCTGATAAAATATGTGTTCTGGATTGCTCATTCTCTCTATTTTCACATTTCATGCATTTTTTAAAGGAAATGAAATTCAGAGAGATATAAAATTGCTTTCAGGCTGTATGAGGATCGTTGAAAATCCCAAGGTATTTCGAAAATGTATAGTTTACAAAAACCAAAAAAAATCCAAGGAAGTGTTGATCAGATGATCTTTTGCGAAGGTGTTGCGCTCATATGAGGAGATGAATGATGTGAATCTTCTCAAAAACATTAAGTTGATAAAACTACATCAGCAGGTTTGAGTGAGTTATGTTTGGAGGTGGATGTCAATGATTGTGCTGTTTTCTACCTTGATAGAAAAAAAAGCAAAAGATGGGAATTCAAAACCCTCGAGATGGAATGGAAATTCAATGGTATAGATCGATGGACGGAATACTAACGAAACCTCAAAGGACTGCCAGCTGACTTGACCATAAATGAGTCAAGAATTGAAAAAAGGGTGTCGATTTTATTATACTTCTGAAAAACTTATCACTGACCGGCATGCCAATTTCGCCTGATATCGGTCGAAAAGTGCTTGATCAGCGGTTGTGGAAAATGTGACGTTGAACAGATCGCAAACGGAGAGTGAAACTCCTAGCCGCAAAACTTCGTGAAGATGAGGAATTGTTGATATTGATGAATTGTCGAGCAGTGATACTGAAAAAAGAACTGCTTTGTTCAAAATACGTTTTGCATGGAAGATGGGGTTTTTATTCAATCCAGTAGTCAGAGCCAACTGTGGTACTGATAAGTTGAAAGAAAAAGTCTTGCAAGTGGGTCTCCGAATTTATTACCAAGTCGTTCACTTTCAGTACTGTTCTACATTGCTTCTGTAGGACACTGCCTCCCTCAGAAACTTGATCACATCAATTTTTGAAATATTCAATCGTTACCTCGGGACCTGCGTTTGTGATCGAAAGGGTAAGACAGTCAAAAGGGGGAATATTGCCGGCTGTCTCCATTTAAACCAGTTCACCGCCATACGAGTCTACGTAAAATAGCAAGGAAAGTGCTTTGGCTTTTCATCTGTTCGACTATTTGCTAGGTCCAACACCTCTTGCTAGCAACTGGCTGAGCTACACATATATTAGGTTGGTGCAAAAGTAATGCGCGTTTTGCTAGCCCTTGTTTCAAGTAGCTTATCTCCATCGAAGTTTCTCCTATGAAACTTACCCAGCATATTATTAAGAAGCTTTTTTCATGCTTTATTCAAGGGTGGTTTAAAGAAGCTTCTAGCCTTATTCGTTAAGGATTTATAGAGCTTCATACAACCGCACTCAAAAACAGAATTTCATTGCACTTGCTTTTTGGGCCAGAATTCAAGCGCGAGTAAAGGCATTCTTTTGAAAATTTAACTATTATATGTAGTGGAAATTTTCTAGGTTATGCACTCTTTACTGTTTTCCTAGAAATTACTTAGATTGAGATCTCGGCGCCTCAACATGAGTGATAGTTTTGGCCATTCTTTGGCCCATAGAATTCCTTTGAAGAAAGCAATCGCCAAAGTTTTGCTCATTTCTGTAAGCGTAAGGGTGGGCCTCCTGTTGACAGTTTTTGCAGAACTGTGGAAGCTGTTCAGGACACAGAAAATAGAAAAATCTCCATATTTTGGGATTTTGAGAGCTACGAAAAAATGTCGAAAAAAGCGGACAATTGTGAATATCATTTTTTTCCTTTTCGCAAACATTCTTTATTTGAGCCCTTTTGTACTTTTTTGTACTACTGGCTTGCGGCTACAAGACAGTCAACTTCTCATTTATACCGACAGATCTTGAAGGAAGTTATGATCAGTTAAATACGAGGTTTCCGAAAAAAAAATTTTTTTGCTTATCAATCCATATTTTCCCACCGATTTGCGATAATAACATAAATTAATGTGCGCTGTATAGAGAGAGGTTTGATACCTCTGATGAGCTTTGCCGCACTGAAAAATATGGGTCTCTTAAAAAGTTATAGCACGTCAAAGTGAGAACTCGCAAAACGCGCATTGCTTTTGCACCAACCTAATAATTGCTGCTGTCTGCGTTTTCACGGATTTCCGGTCCTCGGAAACAATGTTTCGAACCTTTTTAAGGGTTTGTACAACTCATAAAACACTCTTTACATTCCATTAAGAATTTGCAGTACATCTGGGACCTTATTATTATAATATGTATGTATTTCGGTGATCATTTAGCAATAAGACACTTGAGAGCAGGCAGTTTGATTACATAAAGACATATGATTTTTGAAATAAGGCGCAGAAGAAAAAAAATTAGAGTAATCCTTTTAGCCAGAACTGAAAAGAGAGTGTAGCTGTTCTACAGCCGAATTTTCTTTCAGAGATAAAATCAATGAGGGTAACAGTACCGTTACGATCGGCAACAGCGTGTACTAACACAAGATCCCATTTCACTCAAATTTCTGGAAGAAGGAACTAAGCTTTTTTTTGGGAGAGAGATTCCCCAAACTACAGCCACTTTAGTAGATTATGATGAGGCAAGGTTTGCCTAGATTCTGGAAAGATTGAAAGAAAATTACAGTTAAAGAGGTTTTTTGACACAATCAAAATTTTACCTCAAAAGCTATATCGGGTACTGTCTTTTCGGTAAATCCATTTAGTTTAATAATTCAAACCACCTTATTACCTTCGACGTTTTATTTTCTTCGATTTTGAAAAACTGTTTTTTCATCAACGCCAAACTTTGGATAAATTTCGCGCAGTTGTGACACCTTTCTCAGTTCCATTACATGAGCTCATTTCACAGATTAGCCGGTTATTTTTAAGAACCACTTACTTTCTTGGTTTTCAATGGTCCCATAACCCAAGATTTGAATTTGTTTTCCCTCTGGTCGCATCTCCTAGTTGTGGATTTTTGCTTACCTGCGGTATCACTAGCTTGCCAATCGGTCGG